ACACAGATCCTGGGAGGACCTCCCATGCAAAATGGTGTCCTTCGTTTTGTAAGCTGCGTCCCTTTAGGTTCACCTCTGCTGCTGCGAGTGGCCTGGGGCAGCGGCCTCTTCCAACAAGGAGTTCCCCCGCCGCTGGGCAGGTGGAGACTCAGCTTCTCGGTCTGGGATGGAAGACGCCGAAGAAGGTCTCCAGGGTTAGGAGCGTGTGAACAATGGTCAGGATCCGGGCCGGCCTCTGTCAGCACGCGCCAAGGCCACAGGTCCGAGGGCTGTACTCGGGGTATCAAAGAGTTTGCACAGAGGAGATTACAGAGCAGGGGAACAAATGAACGAACAAGTTAAAAAAAGCAAAGACACGAAGGCAGGGAGTGAGAAAATACAGACCGGGCTACAGAGTCTCTGCACCTGCGGACACAGCGCATGGCAAAGAAATCTATCCAGATCCCTGATCTTAAGGTCAACCCCCCCATCTCCCCAAACCAGAAAACAAATAGAGAAAAGAGTTATAGGGAAATAGGACTGAAGTCATGTGAATAAACCCATCAGACGTGAAAGCCGGAGCTATCAGTGTGGACACCCACATGCATACATTAATCTACGTAATGTAGGTGCACATCCAAGCCTGTGGATTGTTTGCCTGTTCGCACACTGAGCAAAACCGGGCACGGTTTTCGATCTAGAAGGAAGGGAGGTGCTCCACGCGCTCGGAAGAGTCTGCAGCCCTGGCTACAGGCTCCTACAAATTTCACCGCAGTCATGCTTTTGACATAAGTAGAGCACTTTTATTTCTAGCACAGCTCGTGGCGTCTGGGGCACTGATGCGCGGTGCAGATTAAAGGAAAGCGCCGTGACCCGCGCTGCCCCACTTTACGGATCCAGGTGACGGCTGCTCCTGGGACTTCAGCCCCCACAAGCGTTTGCAAAAGTGACCACACGACTGCGCGCTCACTGGCGCACAGGACCAGGGAAATTCGCCCTGGAAACGGAAAGAGAGTAACGTGGCAATTCAGCACCGTGCCTGTGCCAAAGTTGATGACTTACTCCTCAGAAATAACCAGTCCCTGAGTACATCACAGTCAGTCAGGAATGGTCAGTTAACCAAAATGAGTCTGAAGGCATGTCTTGAAAATCCAAGGTCTGTTTTACTAAAAACATGCAGAGCTAAACAGTGGTTTATTCTGATGCTCAGTGCATGACAAAGTAACTAACGTCATTTGTTAGTACAAATCCTAAGTTGCCTTCGGTACCATGTTTAGAATCTTTATTATTACACCAGTGGCTACACAGCCCAGTAAAATCCCTGCGTCAGGAGAGACAGGGTCAGGAGGTCAGGATGCATGAGCTGCGGTGAAAGGGTCAGGAGTTAAGTTATCGTACTCCGTGCACAAAGGTCAAGTCACGGCCGCTGGCACAGCATAGTGTGGCTCCAAGCATAGGAAAGCGGGCACTGATCTCATTAAAGCCGGAGCGTCAGTATTAATCAATAATCTCATTAAAGACAAAGTCCGTTAGTACTGCCTCCTGTATCTCTACATGAACTCCGTGGGGGCTTAGAAAAAAATCGTATTCTCAAACTCTGGGGCTTACAACAGGTGAGCTCACTAGAAAGACTTCGAAAATGGCACCAGTCATCAGCCAGCCTGCTCTTAGGACACTGTGGTCATTTCAGACACCGGGCCGCAGGAACGATGCTGATGTTCAAGAGGCAGGACAGAGGAGACAACTAGACCGACTCCTACCTGAAAACTGAAGTCATGTACTGCTCAGGGAGACGGGGAGGGAGGCGAGTACAGAGGATATTTCAGTGGTTGTGATTCTAGTACTCAGGTATTCTAGTAGTCAAAGTCCTCAAAGGCCCCGATTAAGTCAAAAGCCACTTCCTCAAGATCAACAGTGACACACGACCCTGGACACAATCGGTAACTATGGGGGAAGGCACTTAAAACAGAGAACAGGAGGCCCTTCTTTACAC